GTGTTTTAATTCAAGTTTAGACTTCACTTTATTAACTGTGTTGTTAGCTTGTGTAAGGTTGATTCAATATGTATGTTTTAACAAGTGATATTGATTTTGTCTTTAAATTACATTTAAGAGTGCATAATAGTTATTTGTGAAAGAAATTTGGCGAGAACGCTTCATAATGAAACGGAAATCACTTTTGTGTCAAGAGGCCTGAAAAGCGATATAAGTTTCATTAAGACGCTCAAACAAGGATCTTAGACGATTAAAATGTCAACTATTATTTAATGTATTATTTATTATGCGTTACAGTCATACACATAGCGATCGATAATTTTACATTTCATCGCAAAAATCCATAATACAATATCTTGCTATTGTTGGTATTGTAACGTTCCTCTGTGGTGAATCACAACTCGCTGGTTTTATTTTACAACGTTTATTTGTAAACAATTATACACTAAATATACTATTTCTATTTACAGGTTCCGTCACACATGTCACACATGTAAACACAGTCCTCATGTTCTTCACATGATTATTTACACACATATATTACACAGTTCACTTCTTCTGATTATTTCTTTACAATCTGATCTCTGCAATCTGATTATTTATTTACACTGATCACTTCTTCTACAGTACCACACAGTCCGCTGCACTGTCCACGGTCCACTGCGCTGACCACAATTCCCTGCGCAGACCACACTTCACTGCGCACACCAGGGTCCACTGCACTGCTGTTTACCACGATGCACACTCCACCGCTCAGCTTCCACTGCAGACTTCAGACTGCTGCTCACCCACTGCACCACTGTTTACACTGATTACATACACTAACTGATCAGCGGCTGCTTTCTTCTGATTACTACGTACACTGGCTTACACTGACATACTTACACACACCGACTTACACTAACTTACACTGTCAAACTTCGTACTGACTGACTACTGACTTCTTACTGACTGACTACTTACTGACTACTGACTCGCGGCCGCCGGCAGCGTCGCATTTTTACCTGGCCGGCGATCGTCTCGACACAACCAGCACTTTCTCCACCTTTCCCCGCGACTCGTGAATAGTCCGGAAGCGTCCAGTTCAGGGGGAAGGGAAGGGGCGCCGGCAAATGACGCAATCCGCGCGCTGCCAATCCGGCAGGTGATGCAATATTAGTTACAGTAGAATTTTGAAACGCGATGACAGGTTTTAGAAAAGAATACGATGGGAGAGACTTTATTTCGCACATACAGAAACCATTGGCCAGGAGCCAGCCAGAAAAAACACGTATGATAAGCACAACGTTAAAACGTCTTGAGAAATTAGCCACTGTTATGAAGAATAGGGAAACGCAAGTATGTCTGCCTGCACGATGATGAAATTTGTAATCCCACAATCCTAGTCATTAGTCAGCTTTCTGATTTGGCTGTGACAAAATATAAGTTAACATTTTCGTTACAAATACAAATGTTTGCAATAAATGTTTTTTCTGCAACTGCATAAAAAACGCAACTTCACATGTGCATCGCTAGCCTTAGGTAAAATTGGTAATTTGTAATATCCATTAGAAAAAGATTGTTTCCAAGACAACTATCTTTTTACCGCGAAAAAAGTATTTTTTGCACGGTTTTAGAATACACTTCTCTAATCATGGCGCCATACAATGCATATCTGTATTGTCCGGGATATCAGGCTTCTTTTTCCAAAACAAGTTTACAAAACCTTTTGTATTATATTGTATGCAGTGGTAGAAAAAAATGTTCATTTTTGTGTGTGAAGTTACAATTTCTTTCACGGTCGACATTGAGATTTTTTGCCGACCGTAGGTCGCAGCGGAAAATCTCAATCACGACAAAAAAAATCTTTCCACACTTAATATGAAAATAACTAATAGGTAATAATATTTAGGTGTAAAACCTTTTCGAAATTTCCCCCAGTTTCTAAGGATTATTTTACAAATTTCCCTACTTTTCCAGAGCAATGAAATTCCCTAATGTTTTCGGATTTTTCAGAGTGGTGGCCCTGGGAATATTTATTTTTGTCAACAAAGATTTTCTTTATTTCCACTGGTTTTGTTTACTGGATTTTTCCATTTTTTCGTTCGCAACGCATCGCGAACGCCTTTGAAAACTAAATATAGGTTAAAGAGACTTTTCAATGTGATGCAGGGAAACATCTGCTGAGGGGAAAGGAAGTTAGCGGCGAACGATGCCCTTAATCCATCTCATTGAGGAGACGTGTCTCAAGCACATATGTCACAGAATTGAAGGGGAAATGCAATCCCCTATCCTGGCAATGTTAAATGTTTAATTTCTCTTCTCAGAACCTATTAAAGAAAGGGTTTTGAAATTTGTACATGTTTCATATATGTCACTCATAATGTCACTGAAACAACGGTTTTGAAAAATGTTTACTATATTTGTAGATTAATTAATTTCTCAGAATGAAATTTTTTTTAAGTTTTCTAGTAAATAAAATTGCATAGAATGGATAATGCTAAAATAATCAGAAAAAAATTGTTTCATAAAATTTAGTTTCCTTCCATCAATGTAAGCTGGGGAAAACTCAATTTAGTATCAGAAATTTCACCTTTCGGGAAATAAGCGTTAAAGATGCAACCTCCAGAAACACGCCAGCGCTGCATTGTAACAGTATCTAGAAGTATTGGGGCCAGCACCTAAGTCCAATCAAAGGAGGACTTCACTTATAATTAATTTTAAAAAACTAATAAGATCATCAATATATTTCAAATGCCGATTTAAAGACAATTATGGAGATTTATGAAAAATAAAATACCAAAAAAATCATTTTTTGACCGCAAAATCATTCCATTTTGCCTTAAAATAGTTACAGTACACAGTTTCCATGTTCCTGAAAGTAGAGCTTTTTTAATTAAACGTATTAAGCATTAAGTCCAAGAACAGATGCATACGAATCATCCGAAAATCATAGAGACGTGCTGCCTGAGTGAAATAATAGGATTGGAACTATTAAATAGTCTAGGTGAGCGCCGGAGGTAGACAATATTTGGACCACGGGTACCAGAAATCCACGACCTCCTCCCCAACCCAACGCATCAAAAGCAACGCAAGATTCGTATATACATGCTTACATTTTTGAATGAAGTACTAACTAGCTTTGTTATACACCTGAAATTAAATGCAAATTATGCGCAATAAACAGCCACACTACAATCGTATTTTTTAACACATTTGTTTTCGTTCTCCCCATTTCCGCAACTCCAGTTCAGTGCCTTGTCGAACGCCCGATACTGAATTTCGTAACAATTGACTCGACGAAATGAAATAAATGAAAATGATTGAAGTAACAATTAAGGTGGGGCTCGTGTGTAGCGACTAGCACATCATGCCTTTCACCGCCAGGCTAAGGTTCGATCCCCGACCACTCCATGCGGAATATGTGGTGGAGACACCGAAATCTCGATAGGTTTTCTCGGGAGTTTTCCCCATTCTTTCGTTGATCATTCTTTCTCCATCCATCATTCTTCTCAAAATCGTCCTTTCCGCTGTCATCTACACGGAAGTCCGCCCGCTTCGGGAGTCTTCGCTCCCCTCTGAGTCGAGTTCTCTTGCCAGCTAGCTTGATAAAGCCCTAGTGGCCAAGGTACTCGCCTCAGGCAAAGGCCTGCCCTGCCTTCGCACAGAACTCTATCCTGTACTTCTTAGATTGTCACGCATAGGTCTCAAAGAGCTTACCAATTGAGAGTTTCTGAACCTAATCAATTAAACAAATTTAATAAATAGTAGTTAACAAAGGAACCTCTGTTGCTCGAATTTCAATAAATATATGTCCATCGATTTCATTTATTCTGTTATTTACCTTTTGCGTAAATTCGGTAATTCGAACAAATCTCAAAGATATTTGAAAACTCGATGATTCGTGACACCTTGTAAACAGAAACGTCCGCCATAATTTTACAAGTTCGCTGCTCCACTACTTAAAGATCGTCTATAACGTATTGCAAACAACGTGAGCCATCCACTACTTAAAGATAGTCCATAACATACTGCAAACGACGTGAGCCATCCACTACTTAAAAATCGTCTATAACGTACTGCAAACGACGTGAGCCATCCACTACTTAAAGATCGTCTATAACGTACTCTAAACGACGTGAGCCATCAACTACTTAAAGATCGACTATGAGGTATTGCAAACGACGTGAGCCATCCACTACTTAAAGATCGTCTCTAACGTACAGCAAACGACGTGAGCCATTAACGACGACGGCGACGCGGGTCGGCTCAGCGGCGTCCGTCGTGACGTCACGGGGCGAGACGGTGGCGCGGGACGAGGCGGTGGCGCGGGGCGAGCTGGCGGCGTGGGGCGAGGCGGCCGCGGCGGTGGCCTGGGAGGATGCGGCGCCCAATGACCTGGAAAAGGGCTAGCGGGCATACTTGTGCGAGTGCAAAGCGTGCAATGGCTTGAACAGTCGCGTACCAATGCCGTTCCTGTCCATGGAAAACGCCAATGGTCGGCGGAGGGGGGGGGGAGTCCCTGCAGATCCCAAAACCTTACAAACTAATTGAAGAAATAGTACATTATGAAACGATGATGTAATGATGGGGTATTAACCAACGAACTAGAATATACTACATACAGTGGCTCAAGCGCCTCCATATTTGAAGCAAATTGATGTCACGTTTTTTGCAGTCTAGCTGATCACGATTTCATCCAATCAGGAGCTTGAACGTGCCCACAGTGACGTCACTGAAGCGACATATATAAGCTCCCGATTGGATGAAACCGCGACAGCTGATTTACGTCAAGTGCACAACTAAATAAATCGTACTATGTCATTACGTTTGATGGTTACGGACGGGTGCACTGCCCCTCGAAAGTTTTAACTTCAAAAAACATGGCGGCCACTAGTTCGGTGAGCCTCCACACAGAGCGCTGAAACTATAGGGACAGCCACTCAATATGTAGTATATTCTGGCTTGTTATTAATACAAGTGTGAAACTACGATACGAGCGAGGAAGGGCGAGTATCGAAAACTTCACATGTTAATACCATTACATCTAGTTTCATACGGTACTTTTTCTCCGACTTATGATAACGTTTAGAGGTTAAACATTTACATTGAATCGTTTCGTGGCAGTTGGCATGCAGGTTTCAGCAAAGGCCGCCTGCGGTAAGCTCCCAACTTTACTCTGCCACAGGTGGCTTACCACTGCGCTAGTCAAATAGGATCAATGTGAAATGACGGTCCCATTTATTTTAAATAATATGCCACGTAAAATTACTACTAATAAAAAGAAAAATGACAAGAATAATCTAATATTAAATGCGATTTTAATGTACACTATCGTACGAAACATTTACTAGAACGATGCTCAAATTAATGAGAGTACTTGGTTTGAAAACTTCTCTGTGATTGGTGAAGAACGTGCATCGTAATAAATTCTGTATCGTAATGAATATCATTATGCAACGGACTGCAGCCATGAAATGACAGAATTATACGATAGGAGTCGACAAAAAGTGTTTCTTACGTCCCTACCTTCCAAATACATTTCCCAAAAATGAGTGCTTCTTTAAACGAGTGTGAAATGAGTGACAGCTCATTGGATCGCCCGGTCTCCTAAGCAAGTGTCCCTCGTTCCTTTCTCTCTTAACAATTTAGCTCTCTCTTAACAATTTAGCCGTTCTTCCATGGATTCATTTCTACTTTAAAAAACAATGACAATGATTTAACAGAATATTTTGAAATTTATATGCAACACATTATTGGTTCTAGGAAAAGGTATAACAGACACATGGCTACTTGATTATTTCGTGTTTCCGAGCGCGTCGACTAATAGGGTTATTAATACCGTAAGTGTAGTACAGTTTTTCCTTCGGGTGGTTGCTGTGATGATCCCTAGCTGGCTGATGAGATTCGGCGCCGACGTCGCATTTCTCCCAAGTAGGTATAACCCACCAGCGAGGCACCGGCCCAGCCACGTTAAGATCCAAGGTCCAGCTGTTGGGTGAGCTGGCGGATGGTATGACGGGTGGACGACAGGCATTCAGGAAGCGGGTGAACGAGTGGTTGGGATTGGGTGATCTGGGCTGTCCGGGTGACGCCGCGTCGAAGGCTGAGTTGCCGACGTTTCGACCATCCTGTCATTGTCTTCCTCAGGGCCTGACAATGACAGGATGGTCGAAACGTCGGCAACTCAGCCTTCGACGCGGCGTCACCCGGACAGCCCAGATCACCCACATGACTCTGGTCGCGGAAGCCTACGACTTCGAGTGGTTGGGATTGATAATTTCGTGTTTCCGGGAGCGTCAACAGCTATGGTCATTAGTCCCATAAGCGTAGGGCGTGTTTTTATCATGTTAGTGGACGTTATCGGGAGGGTACGGTATTCTTCTCCAACTGGACGGCAAGATCCGGCAACGACCTACACTTCGACTGACGGTGCTTTCCCTCTACAGGCACCGCCCAGTACGGACAGGCTTTACGCTCCATCCACGAGTCGTGTGTGTGTAAGGGACGTTTATAGGCCAAGGAAGACGAAGGAAAGATCGCGCGCGGTCCGAAGCCCGTTTGTTTAAGACTGCTCTGACATTCCGCTGGAATTCTCCTCCAGACAGCGGCTGAATTCAACGTAACTGTCTAGCTAGTGTCACAAATCTTATACCGTCGGTAATCGAACCCTAAGACCCTCGGTCAGAGGCACTGCAATGACAAGAGTTAATGCCATGAGCCACCTTAGCGGTCGTGGATAATTCAACAGGAAGGATACAATTATGACCTCCAAAGCGCGAAAACGAAAGTAAAAGGTGGACGCTCTTTGTACGAAAATTATTGATCATTACTCCATGGTCACTTAACCACAACAAGCAACTGAGTTTAGCTGATAGCTGGCAATGCCGCTGTTTCTACAGGGGCTCTGCACGGGAGGTCCTAGAGTTCGAAGCCCAACGGTGGCGGATTTTGGGCACTAGCTACATACCTGGGTCGAATTCAGCCGCTGTCTGGAGAGTTGTGGAGACGACTGTAGTTTATTTAGCTACAGTAGTACATTCTAGGAGCATTTATTCACCCTCCTTTAAACGTCTTAAATGTTGGTTAAAAGGTATTTGCATGCAACAACACGTGACGATAACACGAAACGTTTTTTTGTATTTTTGCTAAAATTACTTCAAAGTACTTTTTTAATAATGTTATTTTCTGTAAGGTTGTTTTTTTAATTGAACTTCATAATTTATTTAGTGGAAACAAGTTAGTTTGATATTTTATGATTTAATTAAAGGAGAATATCAGTTAAAAAGAGAAAATTGTCTACATTTTAGAAAATATGTACTTTTATATAGTGACCAAACCAGGAACCTGATAAAATAATTCAGAGAAACTAAAGATATCTTATAAACGACTAGTGTTAAATGAAGATTGGTCATTTTCTCTAGCGGGCACATTGTTTGAATTATGAAAACATCATTTACGGGTAGGCTCCATTCATATATAAAATTTAGTTTTATTACTGAGATTCTAGTTATTTCAAAGTTCTAAAATTAATATTCATTATATTTGACAATGTCTTTAATAATAATGTCCTTATTAATGGCGAGGCTCAGGCCATAGGGCCTGCTCTTCCGCCTAACACTGAATTACATACATTTAGAATAGTAACATTTTAAGAGGGGATGACAAGCTGTACATTTACGTCTGGGAGAACAAACCTAGGACCATCCGGCATACGCCTTAAGCGATTGAGATAACCCGAAAAACTCAATAGGATGGGGGCTTAGGGCCGAACATTAATAGTACTGATAATTGGTAATAGTATGAAAGGGAAGTTTCGTAAAAGAGAAAAGAAGAGACGTTCAGAGGAAGGGGTCTAAAATTAAAAATGATAAAACAACAGGACAATAGGTTTGTTCATGATCCCTTTAGCTCTGAACACAGTTCAGATGTTCAAGGAGGATGTTTACAAGAGGATAATTGCATTTAGTAATTACCATTTCGAATAACTGCTGTATTGATGATGCAGTGTACCCGTTTCACTTTCGCACGCTACAGCACTCGAAGTGAGCCAAGATGGCTCAGTCGGGAAACTATCACAACCACGGAGCATTGGGCCGTACCTGTTGCGGGGCATGAGGTCGTCATTCTTTCGGATGACGTCGGCGTGTGGGTGTGTGATGTCACCGAGGCTGCGGAGTTTTCATTTCCACTCGATCTGGGAGCAGCAGTGATGCCAACAGACGTACGGGTCGACACCCTGATCGAAACCGAACTGTGAGCAGATGCATGTTCGGTAGCCCTGCGCCTGGATATAGGCGACTCTGGAATGGATCGGGGCAAAGCAGGAGAAGGCGAAATCACCTGAGGGTCGGCAAGAACCTCGTTTGAGGAGGCAATCGGAGTAACCGAGTGTACTGCACCAGACAAGGATCCCGGAGAGTTATTGGATGATGCGTTCAGGTAGCGTTGCACACAGTTGCGTTCGGGTAAAGGAACGGGTGTCGGGTTCGGTTCAGCGCGTTTTCTTGAATTAGACGTCGGGCGTGAGTTGCTGGCCGGGTTTGAGGAACGCGTTTTCTTCGGTTTTTCCTTCTTGGCGGAGAACGCTTGAAGGCGAGCGCTCTGGCGGGAGGGATGCGCAGCTTCTGCAGGCGGAGGGGAGGGGGATATCGTGGCCTCTGGTGGGAGCCGGCTCTCCAGTTCACAGAGAATAGCATCCACTTCGGGCAGCAGCAACTCCAGCGCCTGCTCGAAGACGTCCTCGAGCAGTTGCACGTGTTCTTGCATTTCGCCCACGCCCGGCGAAGACTCTGATGCTGTCGTCCTTCCCATTGTAACGGAGACGTCCGCCTGAAAATTTGCATCAACAAAAGGAAATCAAATTGTTCACTCGTGTTTACTCTCTCGCCTCCGCTTAAGCAGTAGAGCGAAAGTTATGTAATGCTGCGCGAAAAAACGGCGAATTTTTGGCGGAGAAGTCTTATTACAGTGCGCTGGTAACGAGAAACTGGATAAATCCAGTTTCTAAATTTAGAAAAAAAATCCTTTACCATGTGGTGTTACCGGAATCCATGTTTTGCGGGTCCTTGATACCTAAAAATCGATTGACGGTAAAACTTTCGTGTGATCAATGCTAGCGGCTAAATCGTTCAGCCGATTTTCTCCAAAATTGATATTCAAGTCGATCTGGCTGATGTTGCGGCCCCTTGAAATTGAAACTGATGTTTTAAGTTTGGGGGATACTTTACATGCAGCCCCTGGGACATTTTCCACATTTTCAAAGAAATGGAGCCATTGTTTTTTTTAATTATTTTGTGTTGAATAGTGTAAAGGACGTTTAAGTGAATGCTGCAGGTCTCTTATTCGTTGAAAAGCCTGATTTTGCTTTGAAAATTGCAAAAGACAGATTGTTTCCCTTAATGAAATTTGTTTCTTAAACATATATTTTAAAATAAGGACACGTACAATTTTTCGAAAATTTTAGTTTGTTTTTTTTTTCGCATAATTTTAATCGAAACTACGAGCGAGAAAATACGTGCTGTTTTAGCTCCACAAGTGTATACTATGTGTATACAGAGTGTACAATATGTCTAAGAGTAAATACTTCTCATTAATGGGGCATGCAGGAGAATCAGACATGATCACATACTACTACTGGGTGGGCACTCATTTATTGGAAATAATATCACTGACTTTTCCCGGTTTCCAGTTGTTTTTTTCGCTGATGTGATCTGAAGAGAATTTAACATTATTTTTTGACACAAATATTAAAACAAGCCTGATGTCAATTTATTAGCCCTATGATTTCACTGTGATAAAGAACACCCCGAAACATTATCTACAAATAACTATTAAGTCTATTTTTTCTGGAGTAATTTATTTAATGAATATCTAGTTATGTAAATCTCAAAATTGTGAGGTGGGAAATCTCATAAAACGAATTTACACCTGTGTATCGGAGAAGCGTGATCCGTGCAGTTAGCTAGTAGTTTCGATATTTCCCTTGTGATAAGCACCATGATCTCTTTTACAAAGCAGAAAATCATTTAGTAAAGAATTTTAATTAATTTCAATAATAGAAATAATTTAAAACAATTTCTAAAAAAAGTGCTAGTGTAGGATCAATTGTATAACCATGCAGAGGTTTGTAACGGGCCATGTGTGATCGTATTTTAATGTAATTCTTGTCGTAAAGCTTGTCACAATAACCCTTTCTTTGAAAGTAGAAGAAAATGCATTTAAGGTGGTTAGAGCGAGATAAGTGTTTAACATGCCTTTTTTATTGTATTAATTGAAGGGTGATAGATTCCTCTGTTCTGGTACAGTTTGGATCGATTTTACCGCCAAATTTTCGCGTAACGAGACCGCAAAGTTTGTCGTTTTAATACGAGCTTTTATGATTACCTGACAGATCTGACCTGATATTATAAAATTGTGAGAAAAATTCCCCGTTGAACATATTTTTAAAAACTCTTCTTTAGATAGCTAGCATCTCGAAGAATCAATAAGGGTAATTTGAAGAACATCTACCATTTCAAGTGGGAGGAGTTTGCAAAATTATAAGCCTAAATCAGTCCAAAGGGAGATGTTTGCGCGCCTCCTAGAGGGCCGGGTCTATGACGCGCAACTCGGCAACTCTCTTCATTCAAATCGATTGACAAAACCTCTGCAAGAGTTCGTACATTCCTCTGGATCTTCTGAGAGAAATTAAAATATCCTCACTTCTGGACATCACTGCATTTGATAGTAACCAGATATTCAGAAAAAACTGGAATGTGGTGGATATAATGCCTAGTGCGATCTGAATGAAAATATCAATTCAATTAATACTCCCAATGAATTACTTTGATACTACTCCCTATAAAAAATTGGTGATCTTGAGTTTATATAATTTTTTAAACCTTCAGTACAGTATTATTATTTTGTATTGTTCCGTAGGTCAGTTTTTTGCTCCTGAACATGATTATTTATTCAACTATTCGAAAATTATTCATGTTCTCTTTTTATTAAGAAACACAGTGGATTGTCATTGCCTTCTGCCGCACAGTTGCTTACACACGACTCAAAGCAGCAATCGTTAGCATAGATCAGCTCCTCAATAGGTAGAGCTACTGAGTGGGCATTCAATTCAGAAAGAAATAGACTTCGTAGTGGCTTTTAATGTGTTGCAATGATAAAATACTGTTTTGCTGCCATTAATATCAACCGTTTAAGGTATAGATAAATGCAGGGATGGATTTTCGTATTAGCAAAATAAGGCGTGGGACTCCCAACCCGTGGCCGAACTTTTTAAAATATTAAAAACTTCATAAAATGTTCTATCCAAATAATCATTAATTAAACAGTTTACTGAACTACAATGTTTGATTTTAAAAATAATATATGTAATAAATTACTTATTCGAATGCTTTGCGTAGCCAGAATTCACGTTTTGAGGCTTTTTGAGACCGAAAAATTAGTGACGAAACAGTTGTTCATCAGTCTCTGAGCGCTAGCGGCTAAACCTTTCAGGCAGGAATTTCACCAAAAGTGATTGCCAACTTCTTACACGTACTACACTAACACTGATGACCAGTTGAATGTTTAGGGCCCCGCTGGGGGGAGGTACCCAGAGGTGGGAAAACCCCATATGCCCTGTAGATCAGAACCGTATCTTATGTTCCAGCGGTGTAATACCTCTCCCTCCCAGGAAACATGGACCACACTTACAGGACTAATGGCCTAAGGTCTTGACACGACCGGAGTCAACACTCGCTAACTCAACTTGTTTCTTCAAAGTTGTTTAGGTATATTAGTTTATAGACGAACATTTATGAAAGAGGATAATTATGCAACAAGAACTGAAAGTGTGTCTTTGGCGTACGGATGAAATATTGTCGGATGAGACGACAATCCGAGCAGTGCGCCATTTTGAAATGAAAACATCAAAGTTTTTCTTACGAGTTTCATACATTATTCGTAGAAATTGACAAATATATACTTACGGAATTATTTTCAAAATGCGAGGTGGAAGCGATGTTGATTCATGACGCCCATCCCAGTGTTTTGTTTACTTTACAGTACTAAATTATTTTACATGACGTTATTTCTGTGTGGTATCAAAGGACCTCAAAGCCTGTTTTGCCGTAAGCATATTGTATTGTAACAGTTTTCAAAAGTAAGCAGTGAAAGTAAGTACTCGTTTGCAAGCATTAGTGAGAAACTTCCAAGTGTATTTACGTAAAAAACTATTCAATTTCCTGCACCGTTAAACAATTTTATCCTTTCTACGTAGATGAGAAAGGAAAATATTGAAAAAGTGTGATTTGTTCTAGTGCAACGCTATTACGATGACTACAGACAATAAATTTTGCTTTGGGGTTGATATTTAGAGAATACTTTTCGGTAGAAGATTCGTATATGCCTCAAATACAAAAAGGAAACAGCACATGTACAAAAAGGTCTCGCATAAAATAATAAATATCAGACAACGAAGGGCATTTTCAATCTGTGCGGTATTATTTCATTACGACTCATAGGTATCAAGAAAGTAAAAATCAAATCTGGCAGATGAATGATGATTCTTTGAAGCACTGGTGTTGCATTGAGCACTTTATCTGAAATGCGTAAAAGTATATCATAGGAAATACCATGAATGCTTTGGAAATAGTCGATAAATTCCCGACTCACGAAGCGAGGAGGGGTTGTATCAAAGAATCTTCAAAACACGAGTGGTATTACGAGTGAAATGATGTCCAATTGAGTTCCAAAATGCGCCAAATATTGAAAATAACTGAAAGCGTATGTTAAAATCAGAGGTTATGTTGTAGTACATACGCTGTTAATTGAACATCGATATAGCGATCGATGTATAACGCTTCCTAAAATAGATGAATCAAAGTTTATGATTATCAAAGTAGGTAGAAGCGGTAAGAAAAATCGGATAGAAAAAGCGATTACTTTTTTGAGATACACCGCCCTGCTTTCGGCTTTTTGTGTGTATAGTTAAACACTATTGGTTATTATTTCACGAATGGAATAGTCAATAAAAATTTTAACTTTACAAAACCGTATGCCAAAGAAGATTCCACTTGCAACGGTTCTGTTCAGAAAGTACAATCGAATATCGAATTCCTACAAACGATGAATGAATCGACTGAGAAGACTAGGAATCTGTTGCCCGGAGATCTATAAAGTGCCTAAAATGGCTGACACAATTGTTGTAATCATAACTGAAGGTTCGTGATCCATCATTGTTCTTTCAAAGATCTATGCTTTTAATACTGCGAATTTTGAAAAACGTGTTTCCCAGATAATGACTACCGTATTTAATAATCTCGATTTGAATTTCGTCCGAAGGTAAAGTGCGCTATCAATATAAGCTGTAATTGGTCAGGAACACTGGTCACTCGGAAGTAGCACGATTTTTGTCCTGTTTGTAAAATCTTATCTGACTCTTATCTTATTTGATAATCCTGTTTAGGTCCGGCGAAGAATTTCATCCACGAGGAAAAGAGTTATACCAATAACAATACTTATTACATAAACCATTTATTGAAAATACACATCTATGGATAGGGTGCACAAGAGACAAAGCATTGTAATTTTAAGATAATTTACTAATGTTTGACAGATGAGGCCCAGTCAGTTCTATAAAAATACAACTAGAGACCAATAACAAATATGTATGGTGTTAGCTCACTAATATTGTAAGATCCAACACGTACCCATTAAAATGTTGCCGTAATATAGACATATACACACACACTTTTCGGATGATTTCGACGCAAATCTAATACATTTAATATCAAAGAGACAAAAAATGCATATTGTAGTAAAAGTCCTTCTTATAATTGTCTAATTGTCTCTCA